GAGATTTAATATGTACTTTTTTAAAGAAACAAGCAAATCCTACAATTGTGGCGAAAAAGCCATTGCCCATTGCATGAAAAAGAAGCAAATAGCAATGATAACAAATAAGCTAACTTCTCTCGTGAACTGTGGAGATGAACTATGGATATACTCTTTTGTATAAACTAAAGAGTTTAAGAAAACGACGCACATCTGCATTCATACATGTAGCCGACATATAGCTCTTCGTCGATAGTTATAAATACATCCTCGTAGGAGCCATAACTGGAAAGCTAGGTTGACTCGCTGTTACGAATTGTGCGGTTTTACCTGATTTTCATCTAATTGCTTTTGCCGAACCTAAATATAATACATTTTCCTCACTCTTTCCTCAGAGGAGTGGAAATTGTGAAATTTCGGAAAAGCGGTCAATTTCGAATCTCAGCGGCAAAGGACGAACTGCCATTTTTTTTTGGCGTCATCAGATATCTAAGGCCGTCAGATACTTTAGTTATTATAGAACTCAATGGTTGCATTAGAGAGCTTTGCGATACGTTTTCTGGACGGCAACGCAAGAGAAGTTGTTTTATTTCCGTTCTGCCAAAATGGCTTTTATGGTCAAAGTCAGCGGAGAGACGTGGGCTCATGAAATAAAATTTTGTCGCCCACCCTGGATTTGACCAGGATTGCGAGTAGAAAATATCAAACTATTTATTTTCCTAACATAAACACTTTTAAAATTTATTTATTAAACTGCCAACTTTTTGTGCGGTGCTGAAATAGCGACAGAAAAGGAACATTTCTTGACTCCGTAAGTAGCACAGTATTAGTTTTACTATTTTGTTTTTAACACGATACTTGAAGAGTGTTTCTACTACTAAGTTTTAATTTAAAGTTATTTTGGTCCAGTCTTGTTTACAACCTCGCCGACTGACGCGCCACAATTTTATCGAGTTTTGCATCCATCTTTGTATCATGACAAGGCATCAAGCTAACTCTCCTGATTTGAATTGAGTTTACTCCTCCCAAAATGGGGCATAATTTGTTCATTTTTTGAAAAGATGAAGGGAAAGCCACAGAGTTGTGTTGAAATTGAATGCGCCATGCAAAATTAATGAGAACTATGGTATATGTTGTATAATAAAATAACTATTAAACTGTTTGCCTGCTCAATTTGACTGACTGTATGGTGTAGACAATTATAATGAGAAAGTTGGATTTATGCAAACATTTGAGTACTATTAGCGTTTCTGTAATGAGTTATTTATTATAAAATAGCTAATACAAACGATATGCTGGAACAAATGTGCTAAGATTTGTTTCACCTTGAAATTTTGTTCAACAGTAGCTTATGATTATATCATTAATATGCATGAAAATTAAACATATTATTGTCTCATTCATTAAATTCATACTTGGTGGCGATTTCAGTCGAATGCATTGTTACTGGCGAGCATAGGGAATAGCAGGCTTTGTATAATTAGTAGAAATCAATAAAGAATTCTTTAACAAATGGTAAACAAATTTAATTTCTGTTTCATGAATAACTCCAAAGTTCTTCAACATGACCTTTCCAATGATTTAGTTTCTGTAAAATATTATTTCGAGCTTGATTTGTAAGTCTTCATGATTTTTTACCAAGAGATAAAGGAACTAATTCAAAGTTGATAAATACAAAGATTTTACAATTTGTTTATCATTTAACCAAATGTTGTTTGTACATATAAATAATTAGTATTGGTACGTTGCTAAGCAAAACAGAAGTATGTTCGTAGGAAGCATTTCTGAAAAAAATTATATCTTGTTCATTATTACCTCCAAAAATGTAGTATGCACAATATATCCGTCTGATAAATTTTTTCATCACACTGTCAATCATTCCTTCATGCAAGGTTTAGTATCAGCAGAAATCAGATGCAGACTAGTTTCCAGTTTGTAATCAATGGAAAATTAATGTAGTTTGTTCAGAAACAGATCCACAAGTTGCTTGGTTAAAATACAAGGTCGGTGGAATTTTCTGTATTTCTAGTTCAACATTACTTTACAGTAGATTTACAGGTATTGACAGCATGTGAATGATACTTATCCATGGTAAACTTTCAGTTGACTTATGTCGTAGAAGCAAACATTTTTCATTTTGACAGATTTATTCATCGAAGCAAGAAAAATAGGTGCACCAATAGGTGCATCTGTTTACAAACAGTCAAACACAAAAAGCATTTATAATGCAGTTTGACGAGATTGACAGGTCAGTAAAGAATGCCGTTTTGATTTTCACTTTTAAAAGTTAAAATGTCATAAAATACCTTACAAGACCAAATATGCTTTTCACCGTCGATCTTCATTTGATGTGCTCTGTACGTTTCTTCACAAGCTGAAGATTACGATATGGTGTCGGTATCGTAATTGTTTTTTCTCACTGTTTTCGTTCATAAAACAGTATTAGAATTAGGAGTGAATTTAAAAATTTTAGTGAAGTTTTGACCACCTCAAACCGCCATTACCATTGAGCTCTATAAGACCCTGGAGGGCAAAAGGCCTGGACCCCGTGGTCAAAAAACATGGCGGTAATGGCGGATTTTGGTGGTCAAACCACTTTAAAATTTTTTCAATATTCACCCTCCTGATTTCCAATACTGTTTATATGAACGATAACGTGAAAAAAAAACAATTACGATACCGACAGCAACATCATGTATAATGCTTCCAGTATTGTGAAAAACAGAGCAATACACACATGAAACTAAAGAAAATCGACGGTAGAAACGCATAATTTGGCTGTAACATTTAAGCATTTTATGACATTTTAACCTTTTAAAGTGAAAACGCATTAGTGGTGACCTGTCAATCTCGTCAAACTTATACATTATTTCATGCTTCTGTGTCTTTGACTGTTTGTAAACAGTTTGTTGCAACTATTTTTCTTGCTCAAATGGATAAATCTGTGTAAAAATACTCCTAAGGAAGCGATAAAATGTTTGTTTCAGTCCTACACATAAGTCAACTGAAAAATTTACCATGGATAAGTATCATAAGTGTATATTGTCATTACCTGATAAATCTACTGAAACTCATAAAGAAAGTATGTTGAACTAGAAGAGCTACAAAAGAAAAATTCAAACACCATGATACTGTTAAGCTTGCATTACATTGTAAATGCTTAAGAATCTTGGATCTATTATTGAACAGAACTACATTAATTTTCCATTGAAATTACAAACTTGGAAACTAAAGTGCATTGGTTTTCTGGACAAAAACACTGTCTATTGCTGCATGAAGGCAAAATAGTTATTTACAGTGTAGGCGAAGAAATTTATCAAGTTCTATAGATACACAAAGCATTACTTACAGTTTTTGAATTGTGTAATATATGTCAAAACAAGATATAATTTTTCAAAAATGCTAACCTCGGAGCATTAAACTCTTCTGTTTTGCTTTTAAACAACTTACAGCTACCAATACTAATTATTTATATGTACAAACTAACATTTGGAAATTAAATGATAAACAACTTGTTAAATCTTTTGTATTTTACATCAAGCCTTTGAATTAGTCCTTTTATCTCTTTGGTAAAATATTAATGAAAGACTTACAAATCAAGTTTTTCGAAAATAGTATTTTGTACAAAGAAACAAACATAATTGGAAAGGTCACATGTTGAAGACAGACTTTTGCTTCTTTGACTAGGCTGTTTGACCATGAGCAAAATTAAATTTGCTTTACAATGTAAGTAAATTTTGTTGATTCCTACCTTCTTCATAAGACACAAAGAATTTTTGCCATCTATTTTTGCTTCTTCTACATTCACCATTGTAACCAATGTGACCATGTGAATTTGTGGATCACTGGAATCATACCAAGTATGGATTTAATGAGATGAGACATAATGTTTGATTTCATACATGATATGCAACAAATCTAGCACACCAACACACTACTTTTATCTTGGTTTTGAAGTAAACCTTGTTTACTATAACAATAAATAGTTCACTTTACAGAAATGCTAAGTAGTATTTAAACTGTTTGCATAAATCAAACTTTCCAATCCCATTATTATTGTCTACACTATACAGTCAGTCAAATCTGAGCAGGCAAACAGTATAAAGTTATTTTTATTATACAACATATACCATAGTTCTCATTAATTTTGCATGGCAATTGCATTTAATTTCAACACAACTCTGTTGTAAATTTCCTTCATCTTTCAAAAAACATGAACAAATGCCCCATTTTGGAAGTAAACTCAATTCAAATCAGGAGTTTAGCTTGATGCCTTGATCATGATACAAGATGGATGCAAACTCGATAAAATTGACAGCTTCGCACGTCTGGCGAGCGATTGGCGAAGAACAAACAAGACTGGACCAAAATAACTTTAAATTAAACCAGTGGTAGAAACACTCTTCAAGTATCGTGTTAAAACAAAATGGTAAACTAATACTGTGCTACTTACAGAGTCAAGAAATGTTCTTTTTCTGTCGCTATTTCAGCATTCGCAACCACAGAAGTTGCAATTTAATAAACAAAATTTAAAGTGTGTTTATGTTAAGAAAATAAATATTTTGATGATTTCATACGCAATTAACGGTGGTCAAATCAGGTGGGCGACAAAAATTTTATTTCATGAGCCCGCGTCTCCGCTGACTTTGACCACCAAAATCCGCTATGTTAACCACGCGGCCGCGCTGATAATTTATACTAATTTTGTTGACGTTTCCTCCAGGTCTTATAGAACTCAATGGCATTACATACGCATGCTTTTGACCACGGGGTCCAGGCCCCTTTGCCTCCAGGTTTTATGATTTCCAAATTCAGAATGGTACATCTTATTACACGGCAGCGACATCTATGGACAAATCAAAGATGGCGGAACCGGCGTGGTATGTTTCGCTGCCGGAAAATGGCATATACAACCACAAATACAACCATCCGACTGGTGCAGCAAAAAGAAATTTCAGGGCTTCCATTTACTACATTTTTCAAAGTTCATGCATGAGAACAATATTTCTTCGTGTAGTCATATTATTTAGGAGTTTGCAACATCAAAAGTTCGAAGCAAGGCAATCGATCAACAGGGCTCAGTCACTCAATACTATGCTTAGTACTTTTTTAAATATCTATTGGAGAAGTCTGGCTGGGAGAATGGTACTTAGACTAATTCTAGGCTAACTTTGTCAATCCAAGAACACGTGCAGTACTGGTTTTTATAAATCGGGGTATTATTTTTTGGGTACACTTGCAAAATGTATCAATTCAGGAAGAAATTCAGACGCTCAAATGACTTCTTTTACAATAACGTGGAGAGGAAAGGAAACACCCAAAAAGATGATGCGGTAGGAATTTTTAAAGTGTTCTTTTAATTTTTTCTGGTTGCACAAGTTCATATTAATTTATATTTATTACCACAGTTATATTAACAAAAGTATGTGTACAAATTTATTTATGCCCACAACGTTGTGTAAGGAAAAACGATTATTCTGAGCACATTTTCCAATTTCAAGTCTGGATTCTCTACATCCTTTAATCACAATGTCATATATGTTAATAGAATAGCAGTGTGTCATATGAATCTCAATTTTTTGAACAAGAAAATGAATTTGGGGATTTAGTAAGTTTACATATATTGTAAAACTATGTAGATATAAAAATACGCTATGTTTATGGGTTTTTTTCATTTATATGTAGAATGAACAAAGTGAAGATATTGCTGAAAATTATGACAAGCACCAAGAGTTAACCACCAAAACACAGGTTTTTAATGTACATATTGATATTGTTTCTCATGAAAAGTCATTGGAAATGGTTATATGTAGGACTGCTTTCACTAGAAAAAACTAAAAAATTTTGAAGTAATTTAAAGAAGGCATGCATTATTTCAACACTTATTAAAAGTCTGTACACATTTTAAATTAAATAATGGTCTTTATTTGTAGGATTCTGAAGATATTTTACCAAGCAATCTATCTCTATGATTACAGAGGAATCTAAACAACCATGTCAACATAGTCAAGTAGTTCTCACTTATACAGTTATACTTTATACTGTTTACCACTAGTCATGTTTTTAATGTGTTATAAATTGACAATATGCTTGTTGATTGCTTATGCATGAGACACTGTGTAGCAAAACTTTATTAACATCTGGTAGAAATGTGCTCAACAAACATAAAATATATTACAATAGATATTTTTGAAACAGTGAACATTAATAATTACTGTATACTTTCTCTTTCAGAGTCATTTGTCACCCACTGGCCACTATACTGGGCTATTGTTACAGTTTGACTTTGCATCAAATGTATCACGTCAGCAATCCTTTGTTGTTCATGATTATAATGCAAACAAAAGAACAATTATGGTGATGTCAAATTTTATTTCCATAATTTCAATGTTGGGTATATACCCAACTAAATGATATTACTCAATACTCTTTTTTTGGTGCTATAACCTGCATGTATTTTTTTCTTCAGCATAATTCATTTGTATTTGTTCATCGATATCCCCACCTATTGCTTGATGGCTACGGTTGGATATTGTGCTGCTCATGTGATGCAAATAGAAAGCAATTTGTTGAAGCCCTACCTAATAATATACAATTAGATCCTCAAAAAGGTATGTAAAATAGATGTTACTGAAATGAAATTATTAAAACAGGCCAAACAACATTTTTATACTTGTCAGATATACCATATCCCAGTTGCATACACATATTAGCAATGGAAAAATATCTGGTTGTGTATGATAGAAAGTTTGGTATTGAAGCCAAAGATTTTATTGAAAAAAGTAAGTGTTGTGTGTTACTCTTTCAGGATATAAGGTGTCTGAACAGCTTCACCAAATTTAGACTTACACTTACATACTATTTGTTTGAAGACCCTTGTCAAAGATGTGAGAACTTGTTACATATTAATCTGACATTGCATGTAGTGAATGTCTCAAATTTGTATTTGGCTTATTTTTTCAATGTAAAGTTCTTCATGTTGTATGGGAGGAAATGTCTTCATCCTTAAATATCAGTTTATTGTACATTTCAAACCCTTGTGAAGTCATCCTTCTGTGTTTTTACAAGACCCTTGTTCGACATTGTTCTTATTACATGTGGACGTTAACTAGCATAGCTTTACAAGCAAAAATATTGTTAAAATTTGTGAATGATTATTTACACAACATATTTATCTCATCCAATTTCTTTTATGAATGCAGAATCCACATCCATGATGCAGTCTGTTTTCAGTGATCATTCCTACCATGAGATGCAACCTGAAGAAGTATATTTTGTTATGTGAAAATAACTTTTTTGTACAAATACACGTATAGTTTCTCAACCTTCTAATACCCCACAATTTGTCACCATACATCCTGTGCCTAAGTTCAGGAGCTTCTATAAAGCTATTAGGGTGATAGCCAACAGGGCAAATTGAATTTATGACTATTGAGGTATACACATTCATACTCAAATACATACATAGCCACATACTTACAGTACATACATTAAGTAGTATAAACTAAATGTATGGTAAAAATAGTAAAGTCATATTCACCATTAGCTTTACGTGCCTGATATATATATTAAGCACTTTCTAAGGATTTTGTGAAGTCATAATTAATCATAATTATTAATCTACAACCTTAAGATAAATGATTTTACATATTTTAGGACTTGTTTAGTGCAGTGTGCAGGGAGGTTCAGTGGATTGCTGTAAAACCAGTGAATAGTCCATGGGGGGTTTGTACTTTTGTGTATTCAAAAGTAACGCCGCCCCAGCCCGAGTTAAAATGTTGCAGCTGTTCGTCATATCATTGCATTCATGTGACAACCCTTGCAAAAGCCATGCAAATCGTTGAAGAGGATGAAATGGATTCTCCATTGGCACTTTTTAAGTGTTCCTTTGGAATTACACCAGAGATGCGAGACTATTTTGAATTGGCTACACTTAGCAAAGAAAAGGTTTCTTTATTTGAAACAGGTATGCAAGATAATCTGCAATGGTGAACATCCTTTTTGCTTTACATATACTATTTCCTTTATCGGTATGGTATTTAGCACTTTCTAGCATTTTGTAAATATTACAATTTAATTATTTTAGGCAATGAGAATGATGCAAGCGATTTTACTGATCTTCCTGAAAAAAATGGTCATAAAATTTTGGCGCCATCTGAAAGTGGTATTTGTTTTGTGGTGCAGAGTGGGATAAACGTTCTATTCAAGATGAATGGTTGTACGTAGACGTGTGTTCAGTTGCGTACTTTTATTCAATCCATGATGTGAAGGGTAAGTTCTGATTTGTTATAGGTTACGCTTTGCTTCATAATTATTTGACTTAAATAAATTATTTAGTGTATTGTAGACCTTGCTCCTCTTGTGCTACGAAAAAGCATTATGATGGCATTGAAAACAGGATTGTATGGTTTGGATCATATGCAATATCTCATGCCGTTCTAAAAGATTACATTCGGCTTTTCATAACGTCGAGGTACTTTTTAATGAAAATTTGCCGAAGCATTAGTAGCTACGTTTGTCCATTATTTAATTTTCTCGCCCTATCTCTTTTGAATGTTTTTCTTTTTATTCTTGTTCAGTTTACCTATGTACAAATATTATGTTGCGTATGTACAAAGGCAAGTGTCTTCGGGTAATTTTAATTTCCCAAAGGAAATAACTTACGCCAAGTTTCGTCTCGCTATCATTGCCATGATACGGTAAGCATCATTTCATTTTCAGCTGTAAAATATGAATATTCCATTGAGATAGTGATCGCTTGTTTTATTAAGTTATTGAATTTTCTCTTATTAAGGTTGCTTAATATTGATTTTGACAATGGGTTTTTTTGTGAATTATGTGGAAGAATTCCCAAAAGGTGGTGATGGATGGAACAACTCTTGGAATACAGAAAACTTTCTTACCAAATAATTTAAGAGAGTCTGATACTGGATTGCTAGATGGAAGATAAGTATTTTTGAAGTTTATCTGTAATGTATAGTATATACAGGTCTTCTAATTAGTAAATACGAGTGTTCATCTACGTATCAGAAAGCATTTTATGCATGATGGTGACTTCTCTCAATTTGTTTTTGTACACAGCTTATAGTTATAAAAATAACAACCTGTTTTCTTTTGTCCAATACTAGGTTTGAAATGCGCAATTTCATCAACAGGAGAAATGTGCGAGCTTTATTGAAGAAGTACAGTGATTCAAAGCTAAGTTGGGACGAATTTCAAGAATTAAAATCTGAAGTAAGAAGAATTTATTACCCACGAGTACAAAATTTTGTATGACCACTCCAGAGCTCATTTTATACTATAATTTCTCGTATTTATAGATATCTTCAAAGGGCTTAGGACTCTACTTGAATGGTTAGAGAAACAAGGATTTATCACTAGTTGTCCAAACTCGTGCAGAAGGTTATTGGCAGCATTGGCTTCTGACAAACCAGTATGCGCAATTGTGCCCCCCAAAGAAGAAGTTTTGGACCTCTTGATAAGGATGTCTGATGGAGCCAATCCAAAGACAATCCTTCGACTGATTTAAAACTTCTTCATGAAGAAGTGCCCTTACTGTTTAACGTCATTGAGACTAGCGAAGAAATTCCAATTACTATTCAACCGCTGCTAAAGGAATTGGTACAAAGGCGATAAGTCCGTTCGAGGTCAAGGACGGTCAGTGGCGTTTGCCACACAACTTACCTGCGGTGTCTCAAAATTCGTCCCATGGATATCTACCTTCTCTGCCAGAACTGGTTCAACGAGGGAATTATGTTCTTGACAATAGGAAGACACAGCAGGAGATTGTGCCAAAGTCACTAGACCCAAGAAGAAGCATGGCACTTTGATCCCTGGAATATTTTGTATTCTTTGTCCCCACGGTATTTACATGATGAACAGCTCCAACGAAAATTTGTTTTACTATTGCAGTGACATTGCGCCTTCGTTTTTGTTTCCAGGTGTACGTTATGGATTCGAAATAATGAGGGATCACGAATCACGAAATATCCCATTTACCATTTTACGAACACGTTTTCCTGATGGTAAGTTACGTATGCGTGTACCTTTTATGGTGCTACAAACAGAGTATTATCAGTGAATCGGACAGATTGCGTGACGGTTTAGTCGCCTGACAGAGTTGTAACATAACAGAATGTGCAGTAACATAACCGAATGTGCCTGATGATATGCTTATGTATTTTTATTTCTTTAGCGCCAGAGTTGGTCATTTACGATAATGCCTGCAGATTGCACGAGTATTGTTTGAACCGAGATCCAGCATTTTTTAAGAAAACAAAATTTGTTGTTGATAAGTTTCATTGGAAAAATCATTCAGGTAAACTGCCATACTCTTCCTATTTTACTTGAAGCGAACTTATTGATCCAAAAATGGCCGTTTTTATGTTTTCACAAAATTTGTTGATTTATAACTGTCCTTTATGTGTAGGATGCTGCGAAGGATATAACATGAAATTGTACCCCATGCTCAATATGTACAATAGCCAAGCTGCTGAACAGTGCAATTCGTGTATTAAGCCTCTTGCCTCCATGGTTTCTTACATGGAATACGATAACTTTTTTCTTTTCACAAAACTCCATATTTGGCACAGGAACATGTTACGCATTGTTAAATACAATCCTGAGAGAGAAATAGCCTACAAAGACTATTTTCTCACTCTTAGTCGCGTTATTCATTAGTAACGCGTTATAGTTTCGTTTTCGAAAAATTTAAACTTGTTTTATGAATAGTTTTATCTGTACAAAATATTACTTCATAGTTACCCATATAGTTTCTGCAAAAGTAACAATTATATGTAACGTCGTTACTTGTAAAAAAATTATTTACATCACTTGTTATAAATATAAGAATGTTATTCATATGCACTAGCTTTAAACTTAAATTCTGCTTCATTACAAATTGCTTTGCTAAATGGCAAAGCTTCGAATCAGTTTTTTAAGGTATGGTCTTTTACTATTTACATGGATATCGACAAGTAATCCAGGACCAACTTCTCCTATCAAAACAACACTATCTTTATATGAACAGAGTAAACAAAGTGATTAAGAATCATGATATCTTTTCTCAACTTTACCCCCTCTGTTATTCTTCTCGCAAATTCTGTCACGAATATGCCACAATCATAACCATTTGCTTGTTGCATCACCTGTCGTCAATAGTTAAGTTATCCCTTTGTGACAATTTAAGCGTGATCTGTTGCCATTGTAAATGATAAGTACTTACGTCGGCATATATAGGTTGGGAAATTTGAGCAATGTCTTCTGGCCATCTTTGCTCTTGCCTCACATGCTGAAAATATCTTTTCACAAGAAAAATGATTTGTGTAGACGTGCTAGAAACATTCACTTTGTCAACATGTTAGATACATGATACACTTCATTCTTCAAGTAAATTGTTATGTACGTCATATACCTTCGTATACTGGATGCAACTTCACTTTTTTGCCACCCCATACTGCATAACACATAGAGTTTGCCTGCTCTAATATTGTATGCAATGAGCCACCAATGCAGCCTATATTTTTTAAATGAACATGGAGTTGGCTCATGTTGGCCTTTGCATCATGAAACAGTAAAAATTTAGTGCTTCCACCCTTACATGTCACATATTGGCACTAGCACACATTCATATTTATTCATTTCTTCAGGTGTGTACATCCCCACTCTTGAAATGAAACATCCTGATAATCTCAGCGGTCTTTCTCCTCTAAAAAGTAGGAAATACAGCGATGTTTATTTACACGATTTATGAGTAGTTTGATAATGTGAAAGTTGTGAATATTTTACCAAAATTTGCTACTTAAAATACGTACAAAGGTCCATCTATTAACAGTTTCTGTTGAAAAAAATTGCTAAATGCGAAATATTTTGCATTTCTTTTTTCTGCTAATTTACAGTAGTACCTATAAATAAAAATGTAAATGTTTTGACACATTAGCCATGCATTTAGAGTGACTTTCGTCCTTTATTTCAGCTACACCTAGATTTTTGGGTAGTACCTTAACAGGACGTCTACGATGGTGTCGCATACCCAACTGTTATCATTTAGTGTATTCAAATCTCTTTTGTAAATGCTTATACCATCGAAACAAGCAACTCTGGAATCAAAATGAAAACGTGTCAAGAATAAAAGGAGTCATTCTTATTTTCTTTATACGTGTCTAAAATATGTTTTACTACAAAAAACCTCTCATTTTCTCCATTCCAAGTTCTCCTAGAGAAAAAATAAAAAAATACAAACATCTTAATATACGTATGGCACAAAAGTTTAGAATCACTCAGATTTTTATTTGGCAAGAAATGTTGGGAAAAAAACCTGTAATTTAAACTTTTATGCTGCGTTGGGTGTCGAGTTTGTCGTTTTTCCCATTTTGGCTCCAAGAATGCAAACAGGTCCTTCTTTATTTTACAAAGAGTAAAAGCCACACTGCCTACTCCTTGCATAGCTTGGCAAACACACGGTAGATATATTTGAAAACCTCGTACTTAGGACACCACACCTCCAACGATGCACTATGCCCCAGCAATACACATGAAGTGCGTATCTTTCAAGTCAACATCTATGAAAAGTTAATTGAGCTTTTATCAGAAAGGCATGTTATATGAAAATTAAGCTTATGATCACTTTATTCAATTTAAAACCGTAGAATTAAATGGTGTGTACAACGATTAATTAGGTTATTCGATAATACCTTCTTCCAGGAAATTATGAATTTCAGACACAATTTTCTTGCCTGCAGTTTCCGTATTCGTTTGCCTGGTGCGCTATAATAAAAATCAAATCTCAGTTCATTTGAAATATTAAGGATAAATCTATATGTGAAATAATGTATTATTAAGTAAATTTTTTAGGTAGAGCAAAAGTCACCTCTAGTGCTAAATGATGTTGATGGGAAATTCCGTACAGGAAAGCATCAAGTTTCAACCTGTCAGGATCCGTACTAAGCGCCTCAAAGATATTTCCTGGCTCACTGGCATCATAGCCTTGAGGCAAACCCATCGCTTCCATCTTACTCGATCTATAAAATAAATACGTAATCACAAGTAAAATGTTTTAAAATAATTAAGTATAAACTTTAAATGTGAACCTTAATGCATGAGTTACAGGTTGATGATGACTTTATGATTGCAACAATTCCTGACAAATTTCACAATTGTAGCTCATATTTGCCATCCTGAATCCAGAAACTATACCACATATTTCCCCTAAAATGATCCACTGTCGTATAAAACACTTTGCAAAGTCTTCCAGAGAAGTAAGAATTACTATATTAATTGCGTATTGTTTATCTTGATACATATAGATCTTAACTTTCGTCATGTGAAAACTCAAATTTACCTTTTCATACATATCTTTGATATTTAGGTCTGCGCTTTCGTCTAAATTCAGAAATTGCACATAAGATTTGATGGTGAAGAAAAAGATATCTAAATATTAATCTCATTCCTTTTGTTGCATCATGAAATGTTCCTCTGGTCCCATTTCGTCTTCTTCGTTTCCTTCTTCTTTAAGATATTTCTCTTTGTTGTGCTCGTAGTCCATATCTTCATCTTGAATTCTTCTACCACTTCTTTTTCTTGTTTGAACTCGTCCGCTTTCTCCTCGTTTATTTCCTCTATATCAGTTTCTTTTTCCATGTCTTGGTACTCTTCTTCGATGTTTTCTTCATTAAACTGTACACATCAATTTATTAATAGGATGTGTAATAATCACATAAAGTGTGGAGAACGTATTAAAAATACAATTGACGTATTCTTTTAGGACAATTTTTTTTTTTACATTTTTACATTTGATTATTCAAAGTATTATCTTACGTCTGTAATGTAATTCCAATAGGAAAGGACGATTTCGGTTAGTTCTGCCTTGTTGAGAACTTTCCTGAAAATTTTCTTATCGTTGTTGCCATCTGGAAGAATTGCAATCAATTTTAAACATGGTTTAGAAAACATAAATAAATAGACATAAAATAAAAGACATAAATAAATCATTAATTAAACCTAGTGGAATCTCTTTTCTTGCTGATGGTGAACAAAACGGTATGTGTAACGGCCAAAAAGATGGTTGTTCTGCTTTGGACCAAAAATTTTTAATTCGGGCTACAGGCCATTTGTTTCCTCCCTTAGACCCTGCAGCAGTATAGAAATATTTGTCTCTGCTTATGTTTTACAAACATGAAACTTATTTAAAATGAAACATGTTTGTGCCTGAAAATGCTAATGGAAGAACCATATTAAGCACGAGGTTTCTGAGTTCTTCACACGACCATTTCCTCTTCTATTTCATCAAAAGCTTCAGGGTCGATTAAATCAGGTCGAACTTTTCGACTTCAATACGTTTTCATTGTTTGCTATATAGATATTTTAAACTTCACAATTGTATATGTCAAATGATGATATATATATAACAGTGATGCTTATTTTTAATATCAGAGAATTAAAAAAGCAGTAACAGTATTCACCAGATGACGTTGTTGAAGACCTCAAATCGTTTTCAATATATTTGCATACTATATGGCTGGCAACGTCCAACACATCTTCGCGCAATCCAGGACTTCCTACAACACAGAATGGGTTTATTTCAATACAGTTAAACATATGCGTGTTCAAGTAGTGAACTCAAAAATCAATAACCTGCTGTTCGAACATTTCCGTTCCCATCCAAATATAATAAAACAAGAGGACCGATTCGATTAGACTGGGACACTTGATCAATCTAAAATCATGAAATTACATAAAATATTATCAAAATACAAAATAAAAAATACAAAAGCAAAACGCGCTTTACTAGACGCTTTCTCATTTTGTATGCATTCAAACTTTCATTTTGCTGATTAACTCTTTTCCTCTAAACGAATTATTATGTGACATAAACTTTATGCCATAAATAACGAATCATTATTATTGAAATATTTATCAATATAACAGGAAAGAGATTATATTATATACCGGTCTCTGACTCTTTCACACGTGTCTCTCCCGCGAATTTGTCTTCATTGTATTTTCAAAGTTATAGAAGTATTCCTAATTGTTGAGTTCGAGTTACTCGCCATATCTCTTTCTTAGTATATATATACCTTCGGTAACAACCACGAGTGAACTTAATGATCGAACTGATTTTATTATTTTACAGAGCAGTATTTATAGTCTTTATTACAAATAACAAATATTATTATTGGTCGGAGTAGTTCCTCTGTTTAAGCTATATATGGTACATAGGAAATTTAATTAACGTCAATAACTGTTTCTTGGCTCTTAGCCGTGTGGGAAAGGATACATTGATAAACTAAACTACGCACATACTATTTCCTTAAACACTGTTGTAACACTGTTATTTATAAACACAAACACTGTTAGCCTTCATATCACTCGTTTAAACTTAAACTAACATTGTCTCTCTAATAAAATTTTTTTACGACCATGGTTATATATGCCGAAAACTGGCATACTTTATATTTCTACCACATTTTTCTAAACACTTTAACACTAATAGCATTCTTATCACTCGTTTAAACTCAAACTAACAAGATCTCTGTAATAAAACATTTTTACGACCATGGTTATATATGCCGAAACTGGCATACTTATATTTCTACCACATTCTTTAAACACTTTAACACTGTTAGCCTCTCATCACTCGTTTAAACTAAACTAACAAGATCTCTGTAATAAAACATTTTACGACCATGGTTATATATGCCGAAAACTGGCATACTTTATATTTCTACCACATTTTTCTAAACACTTTAACACTGTTAGCCTTCTCATCACTCGTTTAAACTCAAACTAACAAGATCACTGTAATAAAACATTTTACGACCATGGTTATATATGCCGAAAACTGGCATACTTTATATTTCTACCACTTTCTAAACACTTTAACACTGTTAGCCTTCTCATCACTCGTTTTAACTCAAACTAACAAGATCTCTGTAATAAAACGTTTTTACGACCATGGTTATATATGCCGAAAACTGGCATACTTTATATTTCTACCACATTTTTTCTAAACACTTTAACACTGTTAGCCTTCTCATCATTCGTTTAAACTCAAACTAACATTGTCTCTCTAATAAAACTTTTTTACGACCATGGTTATATATGCCGAAAACTGGCATACTTTATATTTCTACCACATTCTTCTAAACACTTTAACACTGTTAGCCTTCTCATCACTCGTTTAAACTCAAACTAACAAGATCTCTGTAATAAAACGTTTTTACGACCATGGTTATATATGCCGAAAACTGGCATACTTTATATTTCTACCACATTCTTCTAAACACTTTAACACTGTTAGCATTCTCATCACTCGAAACTCAAACTAACAAGATCTCTGTAATTAAACGTTTTTACGACCATGGTTATATATGCCGAAAACTGGCATATTTTATATTTCTACCACATTCTTCTAAACACTTTAACACTGTTAGCCTTCTCATCAATCGTTTAAACTCAAGCTAACAAGATCTCTGTAATAAAACATTTTTACGACCATGGTTATATATGCCGAAAACTGGCATACTTTATATTTCTACCACATTCTTTTAAACACTTTAACACTGTTAGCCTTCTCATCACTCGTTTAAACTCAAACCAAGATCTCTGTAATAAAACGTTTTACGACCATGGTTATATATGGAAACTGGCATACTTTATTTCTACCACATTCTTCTAAACACTTTAACACTGTTAGGCTTCTCATCACTCGTTTAAACTCAAACTAACAAGATCTCTGTAATAAAACGTTTTACGACCATGGTTATATATGCCGAAACTGGCATACTTTATATTTCTACCACAACACTTTAACACTGTTAGCATTCTCATCACTCGTTTAAACTCAAACTAACAAGTCTCTGTAATAAAACGTTTTACGACCATGGTTATATATGCCGAAAACTGGCATACTTTATATTTCTACCACATTTTTCTAAACACTTTAACACTGTTAGCCTTCTCATCACTCGTTTAAACTCAAACTAACAAGATCTCTGTAATAAAACGTTTTACGACCATGGTTATATATGCCGAAACTGGCATACTTTATATTTCTACCACATTCTTCTAAACACTTTAACACTGTTAGCCTTCTCATCACTCGTTTAAACTCAAACTAACAAGATCTCTGTAATTAAACGTTTTACGACCATGGTTATATATGCCGAAAACTGGCATACTTTTATTTCTACCACATTTTCTAAACACTTTAACACTGTTAGCCTTCTCATCATTCGTTTAAACTCAAACTAACAAGATCTCTGTAATAAAACGTTTTACGACCATGGTTATATATGCCGAAAACTGGCATACTTTATATTTCTACCACATTCACTTTAACACTGTTAGACTTCTCATCACTCGTTTAAACTCAAACTAACAAGATCTCTAATAAAACATTTTACGACCATGGTTATATATGCCAAAACTGGCATACTTTATATTTCTACCACATTCTTCTAAACACTTTAACACTGTTAGCCTTCTCATCACTCGTTTAAACTCAAACTAACAAGATCTCTGTAATAAAACGTTTTTACGACCATGGTTATATATGAAAACTGGCATACTTTATATTTCTACCACATTCTTTTAAACACTTTAACACTGTTAGCATTCTGATCACTCGTTTAAACTCAAAATAACAAGATCTCTGTAATAAAACGTTTTACGACCATTTATATATGCCGAAAACTGGCATACTTTATATTTCTAACATTTTTCAAACACTTTAACACTGTTAGTTCTCTCACTCCTCGTTTAAACTCAAACTAACAAGTCTCTCTAATAAAACATTTTACGACCATGGTTATATGCCGAAAACTGGCATACTTTATATTTCTACCACATTTTTCTAAACACTTTAACACTGTTGGCCTTCTCATCACTCGTTTAAACTCAAGCTAACAAGATCTCTGTAATTAAACGTTTTTACGACCATGGTTATATATGCCGAAAACTGGCATACTTTTATTTCTACCACATTTTTCTAAACACTTTAACACTGTTAGCCTTCTCATCATTCGTTTAAACTCAAACTAACAAGATCTCTGTAATAAAACGTTTTTACGACCATGGTTATATATGCCGAAAACTGGCATACTTAATATTTCTACCATTTTTTCTAAACACTTTAACACTTAGCCTCTCATCACTCGTTTAACTCAAACTAACAAGATCTCTGTAATAAAACGTTTTACGACCATGGTTATATATGCCGAAAACTGGCATACTTTATATTTCTACCACATTTTTTAAACACTTTAACACTTTTGCCTTCTTATCACTCGTTTAAACTTAAACTATTAATGTCTCTCTAATAAAACTTTTTAGGCATGGTTATATATTATTATAGTAAGTACACAAAATGCCACTTTTGTCATGTGTCGCCATGCGCAATATCTAGCAAGGAGTCTTTTCTACTGATTAGTCCAGTTGTCGTTAGGTCAGCGGAGACCCTCAATTTGATGGTTGTATTTGTGGTTGTATATGCCAGAAATTATGATACATATATCTTAAAGTATGTATGCTCGTTAGCAATCTAGTCCTACTATTTCTATGCTAAAACTCCTAAAATTATGGCTGACAATTCAAAAGAAAATGGAGGGAGAGATGAGCAACATTATTGTTGATGAGAGAAATGATGGTTAGTGATCTGTTTCAATACAAAGGGAAGCTCTTAATCGGGGATTAGTATGGGATTCTATTGTCGAAAACTTAATAAAACGGAAGCGCCAGTCTTTACTTTAAAAGACAAGAGAAGTGTTCGAGACCGCGAGCTTTGGCAAGTTCAAGCAGAAGATGCGCGAAGAAGAAAGGGCGGCAATGACAAGTTCATCAAACTGTCCGAAAGAAAGTTTGATTGAAGAGTTGTGCCAAAGAGGACACTTGAGGTAGCATCAGTTCAAAAGCAAAAGAAAATGCAATGCTATTGATATAAGGATGACAGTCTGTGGAACGAATGGGCGAAACAAGCAAGAGAAAATCTGATGGGCAAAACTCTTGATGCCGTTTAAGAGAGTACGCCGCGCCAGAGTTAGTCGAATATTTGAGAAAGATCAAGCAAGGAAATTGAAATCCGTCGTGCAGAACTGAAAAAGCGAAATGAGCAAGAAATACAAAATCAATTGAACGAAGCAGCTACATAACAAACAGAAGTCTGAAAATGATAAACAAAAAAATCTTAAAATGATGGAGAAAGCTTTACTTCTTCAGCAGCAACAGCAATTGTCAACAGCATTTCTTGACATTATTCAGAGGTTCGACAAAGTGCGAAGAAGCTGTCACTTGTATGGAAAGAATTCTTAACTGTTGTGTTTTAGCAATCTGTGTAACTATGAACTTTAATGTTTTGTTATTTGAATTATAATAACTTTCTCACTTACCCCAGTTTTACTAACAGTTACATACTTAATGAATTAGTGCAAGTTTAATAATGAGTCATTTTGGCATTCATTAATCAGTTATAGCAATTTCCGTTGAGGATCTAACTGAAAAAACTTGTTGTTATATTTCCATACATGCAAGTGAGTGACTTTAACAACGCACAGACAATATATGCTTTCCCAACACTACTTCTAGGACTCTTATTTTGAGGTTTTTGAAGTCCATGAACCGGAATGAGTTGATCTCATCTCCAAATAACCATTCCAACATGACACTCTAACTGAACTTATTTGCTTGTTGAATCTTTCATTCTGTCGGTGATACCCCATGCCGAAAAGGAGCTTGTAGATAATCCTCTAGGGATAAGCGATCCCCATATATATGCATAATGGTCTCCCATCCACAGAAAAGCATTTGTTCCATTC